GTGGGTGAAAATATGTAACACGGGAGATGGGACTCCACATCAGGAGGTGGACTTGGAGAGTGGAGACTTTCACACAATCCCCCTCAAATTGGCGCCTGAGTAGACAGCATGCAAAGTAAGTCGTCATTTCCCTTCTATTCAGAACGGGGCATTTTCTTCTGTCTATATGCAGTCATGTTACAAGTGGCCTGGAATTAACTCCAGCATGGGGAATGTTGATAATAGCAGGATTGTTTATCAGAAATTCTCCTTTCTATAAGAAATCCCTTTGCCTGGAGATATTTTATCTGCAAGTTCAAGGAAAATCTTTATGTTGTGTGCAGAGCAGGGTGAGAGAAGAAAAAGAGGGTCTGTAGAAGTTTTATGACATATCTAGGAATGAATTCTATGATAATCAGTTTGTAAATGGGAGTGAAACTGATGAAACAAGGAATATTTTCTATAAAACTTACTAGGATCTTGTACCTTGTGACTAATGAAGTTAGAGCATATAATTCAATAGCTTGTTAGTACGTTGGAAGAGTCATGCAATCATGATGATATTCTAATTTTAAAATGTTTCCATTGTCCTCCAAAACAATGCTATGATCCTTTTCAATCATTCCTCATCCCCCTTGGTCCTTTAGGCCATGCCAATCACTAATGTGTCCTTTGCCAAATAGATTTGTCTATTTGAGATATTTTGAATAAATTGAATCATAGAATATGGTCCTTTGCTTTTGGCTCCTTTTCACTTAGTACAAAAATGTTGAAGGTTCATCTCTGTTGTAGAATTTATCAGTACACGATCATATTTCCCATTCCTCATCCAACTTTCCTTGTATCTGCATCTCCCCAACACATTCCTTCCCAATTCATTCTTCCTCCCCTTCTCCTCCTCCATGTCTTGATAACCGGCTAAGTTCAGTTAATGCTGGCCATGAACTTCCTGTGCTCCAGAATAGAAGAAACCACTGTTTGTTGTTCTATGTACTCAGTTAATGGTATTAAGTTACAGAAATTCAAGCAAATTAAGGCATACATATTTTTGGAGCAATGTCTTTTGTCCAAGGTCATATTTTCTATGTAGGCATCTAGCTACATCAACACTATTTATAGAAAAATAATTGTCTGGATTTTATGTATGTGGTTTTTGCATGCATATGTGCATGTGTGTGGGAACCTGTGAAGGCCAGAGGTCAACTCATGATTACATTTCCTCTATTGCTCTGCACATTGTTTTCTGAGACAGTCTCTTCAGTGGATCTGGAGCTCACTGATTTGGCTAGAGGCAGACTGGCCAATAACCGCCAAAGATCTGCATGTCTTCAACTCTCAGCACTGCGGATATAGACATATCCCATCACACCCTGACGGTGGGAACCGAACTTAGGTCCTCATGATTGCAAGCACATTATCTACTGAGCCACACATCCTCTTTCCCTCCTTTTTTTGACTCAGTGCCCTCATTGAAAATGACTATAATTTTGAAGGTTTATTTTTAATTCTTTATTTCATTTGTTTGTATGTCACTGTGCTTAAAAATAACTATCTCCTTTACTGTTAATTTGTAATAGATTTTGAAATTTGAAAGTCTAAGTCCTATACTTTTATTTTTTAGCGCTAGTTTTGGCTATTCTGAGTCCTGGTAGATTCTATATGAATTTTAGGATGATAATGTAATTTAGGCAAAGAAGTCAGTATGAATTTTCACAAGAATTATGTTGAATTTGTAAATCAGTTTGAGGTATCTAATCATCTTAGTGATATTATGTCTTATAAACCATGAGTATGGGTATTTTCTTGTTTAGAGCTTTCCCAATATTTTTAATCAATATTTTATTGTTCTTACTGGGAAAGTCTTGCATTTTTGTAAATATATTTCTGATTATTTTGTTCTTTTCTATGCTACAGTTAATCAAATTATTTCCCCCTTTAACCCATTAGTTTTGTATTTAGAATCCATTCACAGGAATTGTACTTGGGAATATGGCATGCCATTTCTATATATTAACAGTGTATAAATAGATGAGGTAATTGGTATAGCCATCACCTCAAACATTTATCTGTATCTTTGTAATATCAACAGTCAGGAATTATTTAATTTCCTTTTCAGATTGCTCCTTTGATTCTGTATATTGCTATAGTTTGAATGTGTCTCCAAAAAGTATGTTTTGAAAACTTAATTCTTACTGTGACAGTGATATGAGCCTAACGGGAGGCACTTAGGCCATAAGGCCTCCACCCTCAAGACTATATTGCTACTGATTGTAAAAGGACTTAAGCTCGGAGTTTGATCTCTTGTTTCCTCTCACCTTCTTCTGTAATGAGGTTCAGAAAAAAAGGCTCTCAAGAGGTGCTGGATCCTTGATCTTGGACTTCTTCAAGAGGTGCTGGATCCTTGATCTTGGACTTCTAAGCCTCTAGAACTATAAGCTAGTACATTTTAATTTACTATAAATTACCCAGTCTTGGGTACATTGTTATAGCAGCTCAAAATGAGCTAAGAGATATATCAACCTTGGATCTGGAAACTGTATTTGGACAGCTGTGATCAATATGAGAAAAGCGAAAGTATATTTTGGATAAACATAGAATCAAGACTATAAAATAGTTACTTTTCCTGGGTATGTTTGTGATGTATTAGTGCTTCCAAACTTTAATATTAAACACATGAATCTCCCAAGAATTTAATTAAAAGTCAGACTGTTGTCTTGGGCCTTGGGATGGGGCCTGGAGTTCTGCCTTTCTAGCAATACCTCAGTATATGCCTCGGCGCTTTTATTTATTATTTGCAAATTAAAATTTATTCCACATTAAAATACCTACAGTATATTATTTTCCCGTTTGACAGATAAGATGGGAGGGCAGGGTAGTAGAGGGAAGGCTATGATGTTTGTGCCACTATTGTACCAGGTGGATTGTATTGCCAGGCCAGGTGTTACTGTGGCCTGCAGGATTCACATCTGGGTAAGACTGGTGGTTATTTTTATCCTTCAGCAGTAGTAGTAGGAGCTAGTCCCCTAAGAAGGCTATGGCAGACACTGTTGTTTTACTGGTGATAATGAATGGTGCAGCATTAATACCATCCCTAGGGTGTCGGGCTATAAGTTTAAGACTGTGGGTAAGGCTCTGGCCATATGGCTGTGTAGGGAAGACTACAGATAAGTAACCACATTTTTCTACTACTTTTCATCAGAATATTAGATAATTTATGTTTCATAAGCAAAACATAAGAGACAATCTCTGTTGTCCTTAGCACCTTTTATTGAAGTATGACCCTTGATGACAATATGGCAGGCATATCAACGTCAGCCAAGAGGGGAATGGTGGAGGACACAAATGCACAAACAGTAAGAGTCAGAAAAATAATAGCATTACATGGAATAGACAACTCCCCAAAATTGTACAGCAAACACTGATTCTTTATCTATATACACTGCCCCATGCCCCACCCCTTCTAAGAATTTAATCTTCAAATAATACCATATTCTGCCACAGATTTATTATTGGCATACATAGCTCCTCTGGCAATGAGAGGGAACTGCCAAGTTCCACATGCATAGAAGTAGCCAGAAGTATACCCAACTTCTACCCTTTGAGGTTTGCTACTAGAAAAGTAGCACCCTTGGGGAAGGCTAGAGTTGAGGATGTAGTTCTGGTACCCCACACATCTTTTTTGGCACACGAAGTTAAGTGGCAAACAGAAATATGAACCCAGTCTTGAAAGAGGCTTTTTATATTTTTACTCTTTCCTTTCCTATGCATCCAATTTCTCCCTGGCTTTAATTCCAGTATATCTGTCTCATTCTCTAAGATTCTACTTGGGTATTTACTTTATATCTTGACTGAGTCTTCAATCATTTGACTTGAGGAGCATCTATTATCTAGATCCTGGGGATGGGAGGAGAATGGGTGGATGACAGTGATCTTGCATTGGCTCCCTTCTATCCACCACCCTGCTTTCCTATTAGCCAGTGAGGTCTATGTAAGTTGTTTAAAGGGAAAGAGCAAAAGGCCAGTAACCTTTGGGTGGGGGTTGCCAATCTTCTGACCTACTTTCATGCCCCTATCTCCTCAGGGACCTTGGAGGATGGCTGATCCTAGAAACCAAGACCGGAGAGAGCTATCCCATGCCAAGTAGCACTGGCACTCTGCAGCGCTGTTCCTCACTGTGGAATGCCACAGCAGAAGAGGAGGGCATGCCGGTGTCAGTCGATTGAGCTCTGCTACTCAGCTTATTTTTGAGGTTATCTTTCAAATACTTTGGCCTTGTATTATGAATCCGACTCTATGAACTCTTTTGAGGTGGGATGAATGACAAAAATGAAAGTTAAGGCTTGGCTGTAGTCCAGTGATATAGCACTTGCCCAGTATATATAAGGCCTTGGATCCCACTTCCAACAATGCTAAAACAACAAACACACACAAACCACAGTTAATAGTATTTTTGGTATCATATACTTAAGGTATAATAAACATAACAAAGGCTACAAATACCCAGCCTATGGCCATGATATCTAGCACAGTGACTGCTCCTTGTTCAACTATAGCCAAACAATCTTCAAAAGATAAAACACATAACTCTCATACATCTTCGAATGATACAACATGTAACTCTCATCATCCTAGTATAAGACATCTGAACTGTTTTATCGATTGTCCTAGGGCCCATTGTTAAAAGAAGGTAAGGCAAGTGTGGCTCTATTCAAAGCATCTCCTCACCTCTCCCAATTTCCCTTTTGGTAAGTACTCAGCCACCCTGAATAGAACAGGCTAGAACAGCACAGCACTGCACTACATAGCACTTCACTCACAGCACAGCACTGCAGAGGACAGCACTGCACATCACACCACAGCACTGCACAGCACTGTATAGCACTTCACATCATACTACAGCACTGCACAGTACAGCACTGCATATCACAGCACCGGAGAGCACTTCACATCACAGTACTGCACTTCACATCATACCACCCCACTGCACATCACATCACAGCACTTC